GGGGCGTGGCGAGCCGGAGCGTCGCGGGGCGCGGCGGGGCGGGGCGGGGCGGGGCGTGGTGGACACACCTCGCTACGCCTCTACGCCCCACGCGGCGGGCGCGCGGCGCGCTGCACCGCTTCAGTCGTCCACACAACAGGCCCGGCAGCGTGCGAGCACACACACACCGCAGGGTACAGGGTAGGGTGTCGTTATCACAACAGCCAGAGCGCCTCGACTGTGTCTGACAGGCGGTACCCATCCGGCGGCATCACCCGACAACTCCCAGCCAGCGCGCCAGCAGCAGCGCCAGCCAGCAGCAAGCCCCTGCCCACCTCACCTCGACTCTCTGCTCCTGGAGCAGCTGCCGCACCTGTGGCCCCCTGACGGAGTAGCGCACCTGTGGAGCGTGACACAAGTCTGACAGGTAAGGATGAGGTGCGGCGGGCCCGCCGCGACCCGCACTGAGGGTTGGCGAGGGCGGGGTGGTGGGGTGGTGGGCGGACCGCCCTTCTTGCCTCGTCGACGGTGTGACACATCGCCCGGAAATGAACTTCACCCGCCCGCGGACCCCGAAATCCGCCGCAGTCGTCATAAACCGCAACGGGATGTGATTACGCGTTATCGGCCGCGGATAAAGAAAAGCGGGACCCCAACCATTCCGATGCAAAGGATGTGACTCGAGCCCAAGAATGCAGGCGCCGCCGTATCCCGCCCGCCCCGCCTCGCCTGGCCGCCGCCCATCGCGTCCTGGCCGCGTCGTTACGTAACGGACCGGGTCCTCCCCGCCCGCGCCCTCCCGCCCGGCCAGCGGGGCCAGCGCGGCGGCGTGGGCGCGGCGGTGGTCACCCCCCCTCCCTCCCCCTAGTCCAGTTGGATAATGTATTTGAAGTATTCTATCCCAGACCAGACTTTTTCCTCAGCTTGCGTACGAACCTATATCGCCCCTTTTTATTATTGTTGTAATATGGACACCTTTTGCTCCCTCCCTCCCTCCACCTAAAATTAATTGTTTGTGTTTTAACTCAATTTCAGAATGAGCGGAAATCTATTCAATGGTCTCTTCTGGCTGCTTGTGCTGGTCTTTCTGTCCTGGTGGATAGCCTGCTTGTGCTTCTTCCCTTATGTCGTGGTGAGTGTGCTGACACCATGCTTACCAGCACTCAAGCCGTTGTCAGACATTCTCTTGAAGGGGGTATCATTCCCCTTCATGTGCTCTGACAACATGGTAAATCAACGCTCTTATAATTCATACTAAGGAACGGACAAGTGCAACAGTTAAGTACATGTGCTTTATGATGCACAACATCTGAATCATGAATCAGAACAGAAGGGCAGATTGTCTATGGAATCTGCTAAAGGTGCAAAAAATGCTAAAATTGAAACCAAGTCATTATGTGTTGCACAATTTTCAATTTAGAAACTAACAGATGAGAGAAAACAATTAGTGCAGTGTTGGTTGTTATTGGTTTTATATTTATTGTCAATTAATATTTTTACTTATTTTTGATATGAATGACTGAAATAAATAGTTTTAAATTGAAAACTGTTGTTTCCATGAGGAGGTAACTTTATTGATACCAGGACATCAAATTACATCCCTGACATTTCAGTACAGTTTAACAACAAAACTAATGTTACAAAAATAATTATATTGCTCTTTGGATTCACGTAAACACAAACACAGAGGTGATGGCATAAGCCCGCTGAGATAGCTTTTAAGCAAAAGAGCGGGCTAAAAAGTTGAATGGGCTTTCAGATCTTTAGTAGTAGGCAGCGCTCTGGGAAATAAGAGACTTGTCTTTTGTCTTAAAGCTAAGAATATTTCAAATTATTTGTTTCAATTATTACTTTAAAATTAGGATCCAGCTTCCAGTCATATGTTAATATATATCTTTGACAAACTTTATCACAGTGCAATCTGATATTTGTAAACATACTACTAAACAAAGTAGGAAAGTCTCAATAAATTGTATTTGAGGAACAGCATTTTCCAAAAAGAGTTTGATCTTATTTAAAATACTTCTTGACAAGTTGAAAATACTTTTGGACAATGCTCAGCTGCAAGTAATCCATACGGCTGTTTAGAACCGACCGTAACATTTTTCCTCATGCTAAATTTGTTGGAGAGATGAGCTACGTAACTATCTGCATGCATTTTCATTGTCAAATCACTTTTATCCTCCTGTAAAATAAGATACAAATTTAAATAGCAAGTGAAATTAAGTATTTAGTAGATAAGTAGGTTTTAAAACTCAACGGTAAAAATTGTAAGCTACTGACATTAAAATAATCCTCCCAGTCTTCAAATGATATTGGATAAAATGCGATTGGTGGGTGGATGGTAAACCCGCCACAGCGTTCTGGTGTCATATCCTGCACCTATTTTTGATTGCAAATTGGAGTTATCATGTTAACCTATTGGATTTGTGTAGAATATAAATACACAATATTGTATTGTCTTTGAAAAATATTCTACCTTCTTAACTTGACACATCTGTCGCAGGACTCTAGTAACAACTCCAGGGCCATTGGCACCCCAGTCTGCACCATTAAAGCTGCCATAGAGTTCATTTAAAAATGCATGTGCCATTGCTCTCCCTATACTTGAAGAGTCTAGGTTAATTATACCAGCTCCGAGGGCTCGAGGAGATTCTGCTCCAGCATAATTTCTCAAATTGCTCAGAGACCTATCAAGAAAAAAGAAATGTCAACATAACACATAAAAAACTGTTTTGAATAAGGCAACTAGTCATCAAAAATCTGACTTTATGGACTTACTTTAAAACCACAACATCAAGGTCTAGATATGTTCCACTGTACTTCCACAATGTTAAGTATCGCATAACATCACTCGCATGAGATGTTGGCCACAAACTCCTCTGAAGAGGACGACTCTTATACCACCCTTCTAGTGGTGTATCTTGCATATATCGTTCCATGCTTACATGCTTGATTTTAATATTAGGATAAGACAACAATGCTTTAATAGCTAAGTTCTGAGTATGGGAAATATTTTTTAAATTGATAGGGGACAAAAATAGAACATTAACTTCTGTATTAGGGTTGGACTTAGCAGCAGACTCAACAGCACACGCTTGACGGGATGTAAACACAAAATCTCCACTGCCATCGGCTGATGCACAAGATGTCTCATGAAAAAATATGGAATCTTTTGATGGAGGCATGTCATTAACATCCTCAATTTGATTGCTTGTGGTGTCATCATAACATTTAATTGGGGCAGAGTGACTTGAAATGTCACGGTTCCCACGGCCATCAGTAAGAAGGAAATTTTGTGTTGTTCTCGTTAGAATAGTTAGAAGAAGCACAAATGCAAAGAGCGCAAGCAGCCAGCGACCTCTCAAGGAATGCTTCATAGTCATTTTACATGCCCAGAATTATTGTACAATTTAGCATTTTAAGTACCGAAATGAGAAGGAAACATTCAGCCTCAAAAGCTTCAACAAAATGATAAATGGAGAAGACCTAACCCCCTTTAAATACTTATCACTGCCAGTTACTTAAAAAGTATACCATCGTTGTGGCGGGAGTTTATCTAGGTTTCTTTTCTGCAAACTTCAGTTACTTTCTCAAATTAAAGGTCTTTGATTCTGTCAAAACCGATTCATAAATTACAAAGAAAACTCTGTTGGTAAATATTAGCAGCTTACTAGCAGACGAACACGAACAAAGAAGGGAAGCAAACATGCGCGGGTGAACTGGCGGGCATTTCGAATGACGCCGCTAGATGACGTAAGATGTCGCGGTCCGGGAAAAGGGGAAACCGAGCTTCCTACCGACCCGGACCGACGCTCTATTTGATTGATGAGGTGATGATTTTGGAACATATTGCTTGAATTGAATGAACTACCTTTAGCTAACCTCGACCAGCTCTACCAGTACCTTTGAATGCTGCGAGAGTGGCACACCCTCTAGTACTTGTCTCAAATTTCCCCATTTAGGTTTTTTTTTTTTTTTTAATATTTCACGTGTCAACCCATCAGGAAATCTTGTCGGACAGACGTCCCCTTGGCTGCTTGGCTGCTTGCCTCTACTCAGTGGTAGCAACTGAACCCATTGCACATCAAGTCTTAAATATTGAGGCAGTGAAATAAAACAACAAAAATTGTTTGGAACAAATTTATTTTCCAGTTTTGTACCTAATGGTATGCATTATTGTGTACACATGTTCTTTTAGGTAGTTAGAGAATCCTCATTGAATTTATAATCCCATGTTAATCAATTACATATCACATCAAATTCTATCTAGAATGTGACCAACAGAACATTTCACTGGGCCTACTACACTTATCTAACACTGAGTTTGTCTAAGTACTTCCCAGAAATTAGTACTAAGAAGCATTACTTATGATAGATAATGTTTTAGAGAGACAACATTGAATTTTTGAATTTTTAAAAAATTGGTCTATACTACAAGTTTTTTTTCCAATGTAAACATGCCCCTAAGACTAACTGGGCAGGTAAAGTTGTATACAAGAGGTAAATGTTTTCTACAGTTGTCTGATACCTAACACCAAGACAAACCAAGAGTTAGTATGTAGTCACAGGTCGATAGCGAAACATTAGACCAAACATTGAAAACCTACAATAGAAGAAGACATTATTTCTGTACACAGAGGATGGAATAACTTTCTTATAAGAAATTTATTAGCATTTCCAATTAAATTTTAAATAATTGTGAGGAACAACAGTATAAAAATATACATTAAACCATTTCAATTTTAAAAAGGGAAACTCTAAATAAATGCACAAGATTTTCAAATTACTACACCACATTAAACACAGCTAACTCAGCGTCATTATACCTTTTTAAAAAATTTGAGGCCCTGAATTCATTTGATTGCAAGAAACGGTAGGTAGATAGGGAGTTTTGTAACAGAGGCCCACATGAACTTTTCTTTTCTCTAGGGTAAGCTTCCCATACTGCTGTACTTCTTCAGATAGCACAAGCTACACATTAGTGAAGACAAGTGTCTACCAACTTCCCCTCTCACCTGCACTCGACTAAAGTAGAATGGGTTGCATGCCAAAGAAAAAGAAGTTTAGTGGGTGACCAGATAATCGAGCCAGAATAAGAAGTTATGATTATCAATTATAATATTTTTCTCACGGAAGTAAAAAAGGAATCATACCCTTACGGATCAAGCTTATCCATTCATTACTACATATACTCAAAACTACTAATGATTTGTAGTACTTTTTTTTTTCTTGATTTCAGAATTAAAAAACTCAAATCAAAATACAACAATCTTTGCTTGAAGTTAAGTCACCAAAAGCATTTAGCTTATCCAAACACGTGGATCCAGTCTTAAAAAATGTTTATGACAATGAACAAAATTGTGATTTTCTGTACCATTGTAAAGTTTTGAGTTATCATACTTTAAAGAATATCACACTGTAAACAGGACCTTTACTTTACAGAACAAAGTTTTTGTAAAGAATAAGAAAAATAAAATGTACGTACACACAGTTTAGAACACCTGACACAAACAGCTATTGTACGCTTTTCTTGTTGTCACTTATGAGGGTATAAATAAAGTTAGTGTGAACCTTCTGACATTAGAACAGAGGAAAATGTTCACACCCAACCAATAATTCTTGCTGTGACTTGAAAGGGATTCAAGTTACCCTTTAAACGAACAAAGGTTGATATTTTTTACTTTTTTACCAACATTCAAGAAAACAAAAAACTAAAAAAAAAAGGGCCTAACCCGGTCATCACAAATTTCAAAAAGTGTCACCGCATTTCCGTTTTTTCCCTCAATACAGTCTTTATGTAATTGTTTAGAATTGTGGCTCCACTGCCTTTGACATAAAAAGACCCACAAAGTCAAATAATGTACATACATTCAACACACTTGTAGCTCAATACCCTGATCAATGCACACCACAAAGATTCATGAAAAAAAAAATCAGTTACGAAAATGTTTACAACCAAGACACCTGATAATATATATCTTACAACTTTAAATTACTTCTCCCCCCAAAAATAAGAAAATGTCATTAACCAGGGCATAGATTTTTATTTTTAATTTTGCCCACCCACCTTTTTTGTGATGGTAAAGTCACCATAATTCACAATCCCACCTTCATGAGACCAGCAGAGCAATTTTTGATCAATAAATGTAAAATATAGACAAATGTAAAATCTTAAGAGCTTGGTCTTGAAAACAGCGGTAGGTGTGGAGGCAACAAGCAAAGCATGCATTAACTTTAGGTAGTAAAGAACAAATAGTTGAAGATGTACATCACAATTATCTTAAAAATTAAACACCTAAGGGCAAGAGAGAATATAGAATTTCATCCAAAAGATAGAATACAAAGCAAGCCTCTATTAATCCTTGAAATAAAAATACATTAAAAGCAAAATAAAATTACTCTAGAAATACCATTTGCAATGACTTGTTCACTAGATCCACCATATATTAACAAACATGCACTAACTATCTAAAAACATTATATTCCTACCATAGAACATATTTTAAAATGTTGTAGTCTTAAATATAAGCAAAGAGTGCAAAGAAAAGGGAAAAATTAAAAGGGAAACTACACATTCAATATGTAGACACTTTCAGTCCAATTTTAAATAACCTGAAATCTGCACGTGGTCTAGTAAAGTTGTAGACAATGTACCTACTCCTTCCATTTTGATATGCCTATCAAATGCACACAAACGATTTACAAGTAGTATTCCTAAGAAGCCACAACTCAATCATTTCTGATACATTGAACTAGTAAATCAAAATTATAAATCTAGTGCAACAGGAAGTTACTGGAAATAGCTTCAACTCATACAAGGGCATTCCAGTATTTAAAAACAAAGTTTAAAGTTAAAACCATACCAGTCCTTTCAAGAAACACATAAGAGAGGAGATGAGCAGACTTTGAAATCACACATGATAATCAGAGTAAGGTTTCCTAATTGAATGCAAGTTACATAGAAGAACTTACAGTAAAAGTGAAATTGCATACCAAACCTTTCCTCAATGTCCCACAGTATCACAGCTCAAAGATTAGAGTCACAGCCCAAAGAACGAATTGCTTCACAATTTCAGTCTAGTTCTTCTGTCCAATTCACATTCATACAAAACTAACACAATAAATTCTTCCCCCTATAATAATATTTTAAATCTCAGCAAAAGCCAAACTATAAATTAGAATTCATAAAACAACAAATGCAGCAAATACCTATTTCAGTCCATATTTTTCCAAACTCTAATATAAGATCAAAGATCACCTCTCAAGCAACATTCAATGAAGCCTACGTAGGACAGTGTAAAATTCTACTGATATGATTGGCAACTCTGGCCTAAAATAAAGAAAAGAAAGCACAAATAAATAAGTATGTGCTATACATACCGTACATCAAAACATTTCACTCATAAAACTGAGTCAATATCGTATTTTCCCATCTTGGGAATAAAGTTAAGGATAGCTATGGTTCATACATTGAAATTGTTAGGGGCTAATTAGTGCAAATATTAAAGACCTTAAATTAAATAAATGATCTGCTCACATGATGCATATATATATATACATAAATAGCCAATAATGATGATGAAAAGGGGAGTCACCCAACAGAGGCAGATTAAAGATGTCTTTTGATTCAAAATTTCTGATTCTTTGCCAAAGAAAACTAGAGTGGGAAATAAATAAGTATTCCATACATATGGATGATTAAATCCCTGTGTTCTGTGTGAGTATGACAGTACCTCAGTCTTTAAGAAAAAGTGTCAAATGTTGAAAAAAAGAAAATTTAGCACAATGCTCATTACAAGCAAATCGAACAGTAATTAACATTCCCCTAGCAAAAGTACAGTACGTACTATGATACATTTGACTGACTGTGGCAAGTCTTTCATAAAATTTTCTTAGACTACTCCGATTATTAAAAATGAAAACAACACACTCACTTCTTTAGCAATAAGATGTCAAATAGCTCCCTGTCACACCAAAAGCTTACACTGTATCAGAACAGACGGATTGAGATTCAAATTATATAAGCAAGTTGTACACACAGTTAACTGCCCATTTGACAAGTATTATTGGAACTTGACAAGGCACTTCTACTTTTGGTTAAAAACCACTCAAAGTAGATTCATTTTCACAAAATTTTAAGGTTGTTCAGTATAATTTCCTGTGCCTGATTGCAAAGAACAAACACTGAGGTACTGTAAATACTGTAGACCAGAATCATGGGTCAAAAGCTGCCCAATCAATGCTAAAAAGGATTTCCTGCTAACCGTGTTTACACAATTACAAGATACACATAGATATAAGGTTCAACCTAACTAAAAGGGCAGAGTCAAGGAAATGACTTCCCTAGGACCCCTGCAAGACAAGCTTATGACAAGACAATAGGACACATACCATTGTCAAAGATTCAAAACAGCAAATAATAAAATAAGGTTTCTTTTAATCATGTAAACATGGTAACTTTGCTTGTTTAAGTTAAATATTATTCGAAAATCTCAGTAGTACTTAAAAACTCAATTATATGAGAAATATCAATCGATGATATCAGATACAATTTAATTACAAAGAAAGAAAGGAAAACAAAGAAGATACTAATGAAATGTACTACAGTGAACATTGAAAAATACTACACATACTCCTCCCCTCATCAGCTTCAAAAGCACGTTCAACAATTTCAGTTCCTACTCTGATTAAAAGATAACTGGTTGTTCTCTGAGTCATTCTGTGTCCACATAAAATCTACTTTCCGTATTTGATACCCATACTCAAAGGCAGTGCAGAATTCTGTGATTTACCTGATGATTGCATGGTATATGGATCGATGTAGCATGCACTTCCAGGCTTTGAAGTGTGAACATCTAGGTAAGCCTGTCGCGAAAAAACTCGATTGCAAGTAGAACACTGATACTTGCTTATATGGACCTGAAGTTGGAATGTAGAGTTATTATAACGAACAGCAGTTTGAACACACAATGTCAACATCAATTCAGTTTTCATTACATACCTTGTTGTTATGGCGAAGAAGGGATGTTTGGAATTTAAAGGACTTGCCACAGGCTCGGCAGAAAAAAGATTTTCGAGCTTTAGGCGAGTAGTCAGATGCTTCTGACTCTTGCTGACTACTTCCCGCAATATCGCTTCCAGAGTAAATTTCATCACAGTCATCTTGGGTTAGTTCAAGAGGGTCTCTGGCTTGAACTTTTCTCTTTACATTCCGCTGCTTTTGTGCAACAGAAGTATCCTGAAAAAATGTAATGTATGGCTATAGTATTCATCGAAAAAAGAACAGAAGTGGTAAAATTAAAGCATATACGTATATTCACCTTATAAAGGTGCCTTAGACTGAGAGGCAGAGGAGTTGAATCACCAAAAGAAGGGCTAGAGACAAGACCCAGAGGGCCAGAATCATCACTAGAGCCAGTCAAATCTGGATCTGATTTATCAAATGCTGAGCGGCGTCGCTGATTGATAATAAGGGGATGGATTTCATAGGCTGAGATCTGGGGATAGAACATTGCAACAGCTGATGGGCTACTTCCCAATAGGGCTTTCCCTTGTGGAAGTCCTGTAAACAAATTTTTAAAATAGGATTTATATGAGGAAATGCTCAGGCAGAGGGCAAAGAGTGTCAAAATGAGTATGCTGCTTACCATAAGGTCCAATGCTGAAGGCAAGATTTGGTATAGCTAGGGGAGGAGATGACGAAGACGCATTGTCGTTTTGGTCACTTCCAGGGCTCAGTCGGTCATTCATATTAGAGTATCTGTAAAATTTAAAAGAACAAAAAACATCATTACTAGTTGATAATTACAGCCTAAAATATTTTTTAGAAAAATTCAGATTCCCTTAGTTAAAATGATATTTATTTTAAATTACTCTAGCCTTTTTATCAAATAGGAAGTTTAAAAATTGTAGACAAATATTAGCTCACAAGATGTAAGCCACATAAAAATTCCTTGCTCCATGAAGGGAACAAGTACTGTGAAATCTACAGGTCCTCACAACATTGACGACAAGTTGTTTTCCAAGTAAATGACTGACAGGACGATAGAGGACCTATCATTAACACTGGGGAAAATAACATGTGCTAGAGCACATCGAGAACAGCTAATACATCGCAGAAGAACAGCGGATGAAGCGGACTGCTATCGGCTATCATGAGAAGAAGTTCCACCGCCGGTTATTAACCTTTTGTATAACACCAAATACTGACAAATGAGAACTAGATGGGAAGGACGCAAGTGCAAGAAAAGGAAAGACATTTATCGACCACAAAATAAGTTCAGGTGACGAGTCATTGTTTGTACTTGTGAAAATTCCGCTAGAGTACAGTCACTTAGTAACTTGTTGTTCTGGTCCATTCAAGTAAATAAAGGGGTATCGGTCGTCCGCTACAGAAAAGAACGGCGATCGCGACAAAAGGTTGCAGAGAAAATGTAATTACAGTACTCATGGAGAATCCGAAACTTACGAACAGCTCTTTTCAAGTGAAAATGGTCTAGGAATGTCGAAAGTTATGAAGTCTGCGACGTTTATTCTTTGTTGACGGATACGGCAAACGAACGCGAAAACTTGCTTTGCTTGTCTTTATAGTTCCCAATACGGCCAGCAGACAGCGTTGTCGCAGGTGCTGGGGGCTTGATTCTTCCTTCCAATGTTAGATGTGATAGTCCTGGACATATGAATTATTTTAGGATTATTTTTTCTCTATTTTTCCTATTTTAACTTTTTCAATAATTGATTATCATGAAGGCGACTGGTCAATTAAGGTTACTTCAATCAAATAACAATGTTGCAGAAGGCTGTGCTCTGCCTATCTGCGAATAACCGGCATGTTTTGGGATGTAAATCCGCTGTCAAGTCATCAACAACAAAAAATCGACTGCCTCCGAAATTTCGTAGTGTATAGTGTTTGTTTCTGTTATTGTTATTATTGTATACAGAGGTACTTTAAAAGATCACGTTTGTTAAAACTATAGTTAAGCTGACAGTGATCACACACATTATTGACAATTTGTCCATTACATCTAAACTCTTATAATGTTCCAAGTTCTTATCCATTTGGTGTTGTAATGTTATGTTATTGTAGTATAAGATGAGGCATGTCATCTCTCCTCCTGATAACCTCTGACCCCTTGACACTTTACACGGATAGGAATTCTTATTGTTGAATGTGTCCTTGAAATCGCCTTTAAAAAGAAAGTCAGTGAGAGAAAGTCAAAGAAAAACAGTACATACTGCCTTTATCAGAGGCCTTAAAATTTGTCTGCCTACACTATATGCTGCTCTGCTCTGACAGAATCTGGTTTTGCAGCTACCTGATGAAGTAATATCTCCCTAATCACTGCACGTGAGTATTGTGGGCCAATATGTCAGTGAATTTAGAAGAGCCAGGTCCATCCCGAATTAAGCGGAAGAACTCTGACCCCGAACAAGGACATGGAGAAAGTAAATGCAAGACTGAAGAAACTCATCAATTAATGTCATCAGGCAATGAGGAGGACACTGAAGAGGTACTGTAATATTTTCTTTTTTTAAATATTATTTTTTTTATTTCAATGTTGTAGCTAATATATCTGTGTCTGCCATTTCAGGAAAAGGCGGCTAAACTGGGTGAATATCTGAGTTCCCAATATGAAGTAGTTCTAAGGCTTTTAAACAACCTTCCAGCTTTTGATTTAAGGAGAGCTGCTCAAGTATCAAAGTACGTAAGATTCTTAATTTGTCCTGTTTTCTTTTGGACATAATTCAATATTTTCAAAGGTATTATTCAATTGGATTCTTTTAAGGTCATGGCAGACAGCAGCCAACGTCATTCGAGACTCTCGTTTCCAATTTCATTGGTTGTTTTGGCGAGCCAATAGCGGTGGCTGGAATATCCCTCCTCCACTAGCTCTTTATTCCTCACTATGTGAGCATGTGTATTCTCAGCCCACCCTGTGTATTGCTTTCTTTACAAGATCAGCCATTAAAACATTTGAATGCTCCGCTGAGTATCTCTGTCCTGTAACAAAACAATACAAATGTTGCGGAAAGCAGCATCCAGGTATGTAATATTCCAATATGCAAATATTTTACATCTTTGCTAAAAACTATTAATTCAAAATTTTTGTGTTACAGTGGAGTCATACATGTCGCTTGCCCTTGGACCAAAATGTACACTCTTGTCATTCACTGTGAGTGGTGTAATAGGCACTTCCCTGGATCTCAAATCAACATTTGAAGTTGAACACATAAGTAATTCCTCAAATTAATTGTTGAAAAATCATTTTCATAGTTCTTCTTAGACCTATTCTAATTTTCAATGTTTTAAAAATTATTATATCGTCAAAGACAGAGGCAAAGCTCAGGCTATGAGTGCAGCTCTTTTTCCGAACTCGCCTGGGGTTAAGATCGTAAGGTTCAAGATGACAAAACAAGAACTATTTCAGGTAACTGTTTTATACTTTTCTCTATAGTCAGTCGCAGTGTTTTTATGTATTTAGCATGCCCTAACTTCATAATATCCATCTTTTCTTTGTACTTTTTGATTTCTGTTCCAGAAACGTTCCTCAACAGAGCTTGCCAAGGATCTTGGGATACCTAGTAACATGCTTATACAAGCTCTAGCTCTTTTTACAGGTCATCGAGTTCGTGAGAATGAACTCTCTATGCTGGTTGCTCATTTGCAAGCAAGGTACCATTTATGTAGATAGTATTTTCCTTTCAAATTTTTGTTTCCTATATGAACTATAGTAAATCAATTTTCTCACTTTTATAGTAATGAAAACATTTTTTTTTTTCCTGTTAAATTTTTAGGCAGGAACACAGATTTGCTGTAGCAGGTGGAATTGGTGAAAAAGCTGATGGCATTGAAGGTTTGGTTTTTCTTGGTGATGATGTGGCTGCTGTTTCACTTATCATTCCTGAGACAGTCACTGAAAAAGACACAGTGGTTGAACATGTCACTAAAGTAAGTGCATAATGCTTCTCTACTAAAATATTTCTCATCTTTAAACTTATCTATCTCTCTATATATACTCCTATTTTTGTTCTTAGATCAAAAACTGTAATTTACCATCTGAGAGATCCATGTGCTTAATGTTTACTTGCCTTGGGCGTGGAACAATGTGGTACTTGGGAGAAAATAATGTTGAATCGAGCATTATAAACAAAATGTTTCCTCAATCTCCTGTCATAGGCTTCTTTGGAAGAGGCGAGATAGGACTTAATTTTCTGTGTAGTGAGTATTATTCTGTTTTTCTCCTCATAACTTGGCTTTTATAATAATTGCTTTTGGTCGTGTACAAATCACATTATGTATTGTTTTCACCTTCTAGCAATTTGATACATTATATACATTTTTGCAGATTTCCCAGCTCATCAAGATTCAAAATTATTCTGGCAAGATTTCAAATCTATCTGTAATGAAAGTAAGAAGTCTCTGGAGGCCCCACCAAAAGAAGTCAAGAGAGGCGAATTCTATCAAATTGACCATGCGTACAGCACTTGCCTTTTGTATTTGACATTTAATGTGACAAGTGCCAATCTGAGTCTTTGAAACCTCATTTTATTTTGGCTCGCTCTCTACCATTTTCAAATATGTATCATTTGTTACAATTTTATTTTGCCTTGAAGTGTGCTGCCTGTTATGTTTGGTGAATATTATTGACAATATTTTTTTCATTTATATCATTCCTAACCCTTTGAGTCTTTTGTCTCTTCTTCCACCCCCCGAAAAAAAAAAACTGATCAAGTGTATCTTTTGTACATAAGTACAGTGAAATGCTGTGTTGTGTTGATTCAGCAATATATTTTCTATTGAATGACCGATAAAATGTAGTATCTTTTTTGTATGCCTTAGATCCCGCGTATTAATTCAAACCTCCTTTGAGACACCCGGAGACCAGGCAATCTCGTGCCCCTGTGTGCTAGGTTGCCCACCCTACCTCGCCCGGGCGTCAGTTAGCGGCCACGAGTAGCTACTCTATGGAACACTGCCACACTCGTTCACCTGAAGGAGATCCCTGCCGGTGCTCTCCCGTCGTTTCGGGGCGAGAACGCCTGTCGGGGTAGGCCACCAGCGGCACAAGGGAGCGTGCCGAGCCTCGGCATTGCCTGCCCTCCAGGCGTTTGGAGGGGAGCACTCCGTTGAAAGGGGCTTTCAACCCAATGCCAGGGAAAATCGCGAGTGGAGTGGATATTAGGACGTAAAATGCTGCACGCAGCAGCATCTCTCAAAAACTGAAAATACATCCTCCACATTTATAACTATCAAAATGTATCTGGTTCGTAACAACATTGTGTCTACACGTTACTGTTCTTAGTCATTAAGCTTGGTGAGCTGAAGAGTTAATGTGTTCAAAAAATATGGCAGTGTAATGAGTAATTGATTAGATTTTCTGTTCGTGAGCATGTTGGCCTTGAAGTACACTGCTCCGCTGTGTTTACCCCTGTGAGAAATGAGTTTTCTTTAACGTCAATTCGATGTCGAAACATTCGAATAAACGTCATTTTGTCCCCCAAAATACACATCTTTTCGATATTTCGACGTCGAGTGGACGTTGAATCCACGTTTTCATTCCTCACTGGGTACATGTTTTAATTAATCTCAAGAAAACTTTTCATGTCGATAATTTCTCGACAAAGGTGTAAATTACTCTTTCTAGATGAAATTACAATACCTTCATACCATGCAATAACGGGAAATATTAATGTTTTTGATCGAGTCAATTATTTCACCTGAAAAAAAGACAATGCAGGACAAAGCAATTCCCACGGGTGCAGAGCGGTCGCATCACCTGTTCGCCGAGCTCCGCATTTCAGAATTGCACCACGACATTACGTTTTCTAATAACACCAGGTGTATCGTTAGCGCCTCCCATCCCATCGGGCACGTGGCGCAGTCAAGCGTTTAAGCATTTCCGAGTTTTCGTGCGCTTTTCAAACCAACCAGCTATAGAAAACGAACGAGTGGGATTGCCCGCGTCGCGTCCATACCATTGTGGGTCGCATTGGGAGCGACTTATTTTCAGTTACTCCGCCCCGGGTAAAGTCAGCGATAGCGGCGGCGAGCTGAAGCGGAACGCGTTGAAATGCGATGAAAATGCACGCCAAATGTGCATTAAACGCCTCTGATGCGCTTTCAGCGCGTCATCAATGTGCCACCCTCAGTGCGCATTTGATGCCTTTTGCGCTTCAGGCGGGGAACTGAGGGACTCCCCGGCGTTCATGGCATGGCCCATGGCATGGCCCATCTGCCTGCCTGCAGGCCAGGGCCAGGGTTGGCTGGCTGACGCTCTGAGCAGCTTCAGTAAAATCTCGGTTAAAACCACGGAACCCAGGATCGACCCAGGATTCTTTGTCTCATCTAGCTTTTAGTGCCCTCAGATGCTCGCCCGCGCCCGCCCGTCCGCAGTACCTCCTCGTAAGCACTTGGTGCTTCCCCGGCTCGGGCAGTCCCACGCGGTGGAAGTCCCCACCGACCGACTGAGCAGTGGACCGGGAGAGCAGCTGTAGAGAACGTGGAGTTTTCTCTCTGCGAGCAGAATATGCATGTTCAGGATGTCTGAAACTATATCCTCTCAGAAGACCGTTAGAATGACATTAAAATTCACTCGCACAGACGGAGGAAGGGTGGAGCGGTTATAGATACACCAATTTCGCGCTCACTCCGTCACCCCGTTTGGCACGCCGAGATAATTTATTCGTGCCGAAAGTTTTCGCCGCGGCGAGTCCGCGCGGGCAGAACAGTTAAAGCGTTGCGGTGTCGGGTGTATCTCAAGAAATGCCATCAGGGTCTGGCTGGCCTTGATCGTTTGGCCGTATATCATTTTTTCCCGCTCAGTTGATTTTTGAGTCAGCTTCCTCGCGCCTCCGACGCATTCTGTTGTTCGGCAGCCTTCGCGTGCGTTGCAGCCCGCAGTCTGTTGGTGGCTGGGTGCCTTCTTCGGTGCATCCTCCGGCCGCGGCCCAGAGCAACAGTGTCGGGTCGGGACTCAAATAGCGGTCACTTATTCTGAAATTCCTGCCGTGGGGTTGGTGTGGTTGGTCGCGCTTGACGCGGCGCGTGGTCCCCGTCCAGCATTCAAGTCCCCGAGCCCGAGGGGGCGCGCGCGCGCGGGGCGGTGAAAGGGGGTAGTTGGCGGGCAGTGTGGGGCTGGATTGCTTGCTGCCCACTGCGAGATCGCCCTCCTCGTCGCCCTCCGGGGTAGGTGGCGGCCAGTGTGGGGCTGGATTGCTTGCTGCCCACTGCGAGATCGAGGGGGTTATTTCTCTTTCTATCTCTTGCACCACCGGCCTTCTAAACGGAAAAAGAAATACAGAAAATCTGCCGACCGCGCTCTCGTATTCGCCCGTACACTCACAATCGGATGATTCATATGTCTCCGCCCAGAGCGTCTCTCATCCAGCACATAGTCACCGCCCGCAAGCAGCGAGAGAAGGTAACTTACCCACTCTCTGGCGAGAGTGCCCGGGTCGTAGTAGTGGGTAGTGGAGTACGTTTGTGGTATACGTCAATGCGAGAAAGGGGGGGGGGGCGTTACTTCACTATCAATTCAGGCGTGTACAATTTTTCTGGTGTTTTTCCCTGATTTTTCTGACGTTTTTTTTACTGATTTTATTGAGTGAAGAGCACCCCCTCCCTGGGCAACTGGGGGGAGGGAGGGGGGGGGGATTTTGCTGCGGGTTGCGGTCGTCGTTGCGGTGGAGGCGGTAGGGGTGGCAGCGCGGCCTGAGGCGCGGTCTATATGCGGGGATGGGGATGGTGGGGTCCGCGGGGGCGGGGGTGGCGGGCGGCGCCAGCCCGCGAGCCTCCGGCCCGGGCTGGGAGGGCTGGGCCCCCACCTTTGGGCTGGGCCGGCGCCGGGCCGGGCGGCTCTGCGGAGGTGGTGCAGCGCGCAGCGTTGGTCAGTGTCAGTGCGCGGCTCGGCCTGGCTCGGCTCGGTTGTGCGAGGAGCTGCTGCCGCCGCCGCCCTGCCCGCCCTGCCCGCCCTGTCTCGGTCGTCCGGTCGGTGTCGTCGGTTTACAAGACGAGCAGACGAACAACACTCGCAGACGAGACGAAGCCGGTGCCGGTGGTGCTGGATCGTAAACGCGTTTGCTTCGCCGCCTAGAGTCAGTGTTGTTGTTTTTGTTATTGTTCTGCGGCGTCCTCGCGCTCAGCTGGAAGTCGCCCGGGACGCTCCAGGAGGCCCCGAAGGCCCCATGGCTGGTGCAAGTGCGCTCACCCCCGGCCCAGGCAGTGCAGTGTGCGGCAGTCGTGAGCGCGGACCGCGGCTGTGACCCGCGCGACGACGAGGCCGACCAGGACGGACTGGAGGAGGGCGGGCGAGGTGCGCAGTGCAGGCAGCGTCGTCGGCCAGGTGCACCGAGTGTCCGGGACCCGGGACCAAGCGGCTTTTGGACCTAGACTGTCGCCCCAGTCCTGGCGCACCGTGTCCTGGAGGGGACGCCATACTCTCCTAGGAGAGGCGCGTGTGTTGGATGCACACCGCTGTCGACATGAGCGTGTTTCCGTCGGGCGGGCCTCAGGCCCGCTCGCCTGCCCGCTCCCAGGCCTCCAACAAGTATAGCCTCAACAAGCCGCTCGGCGAGGAGGCCGTCGACGCCGCCGTCACCCTGACGGCCTTTGTGCCCTCGGCGACGGAGGCGGCCGCCGCAGCCGCCGGCGTCGTCAACCAGGGGTACGCGGCCTCGGCCGAGTCCCTGACGCCGCCCGCCGCGGCCGAGGACGCCCCGCACCCCTTCTCCAACGGAGGTAAGTAGACGCGGTTCGCGTATACTGCGTTCAACTGAATGGGACAGCGGTCACAAGTTGTCTAAGAAATTTTTTAACACACACGAAAGTGTCGTTTTTGTCGGTGTTGGCACTATGGCACGGGCCGGGCCGGGTGGTGGGCCGTGCTGGTGCTGACAGAGGGAACGCCCCAACAACGCCCCCCCCCCTCTCTCTCTCCTTTTCTCTTCGCTAAAGAGAATGCCGATGTGACATGACTCATGGCGCTTTTCGCGCTGTCGCAAACTCCAACTCTGCCCCGACACAAACCTCCCACTAAAAACAAAGAAAATTGTCGCACACATGTACCGTTAGTCGAGCAGCTAATTAACTGTACAGCGGAGAATATAGCCACGGCACCGGCGTAATTTGTAATTGTTTTAGCATTAGGACGCCCGTGGCTTTAAGAAACTACCCGCGCTCCTCCTGATCGTGAAGTGTGAGCGCCGACAATCTGGATCCGCCCCTGGTCCTTCCCTCGCTCTTCTGTGCCCGGCGCGCTCGTCCGCAAGCGGCCCGGCCGGCGCGGAGCGGGGCGGCACGAGCCAACGGCCGGCCGGCCGGTCGGTCTGGTCTATCTGACCGCGCGATCGGCCCGTGCCGCATAGACCAGCACATTCGACCCGAATTCGGCGGTCGGTGCAGAATATCATGTCGGGCAGATGATGCACCGCGCGTTTTGGTCGTGGTGTGTCGGCCCGGGGCCCGCGAGGCCCGGGCGGAGCGGGACAGGGAGGGACAGGCTGTCACGACCACAACTCGTCGCTGTTTCTGCGCTCAACGGCCGACGCGAAACGAACAACCCAGCAGCAGCAGCATGTCGAAGTTAATGTTTGCTGCGCGTGCAAGCAAGGGACAGCAGCAGCAGACGACAGACGGCGCGCGGCAGTTTAAAATATGTTATCGGCGTTAGTGTCCACCTCCTCGTCCGCAGTCCCAAGGAGTAGAGTGCCCGCTGAGGTGGGAGACCTCGCGTGCCGCGTCCACGTTGTGATTCACCTGCAAATGATAGCCTCCCGCGGGGCCTAATCGCCCCGCCAGCCCGCTCGGCCCGCGGCG